GGAACCTGTTGCTGAGAGTTATCTTGAATTCATTGAGTTTGTCAGTATCTCTAATGAAGGCAGTATTTAACCTTTGTAGTGCTGTTTGTCCAGTTGTCTAGTTCTTCTTTAGCTTCAGTTTTAAATTGGCCACAACTAGGTGGTGATCTGAAGCTATGTTAGCTCCTCTCCTGGTTCTCACATCTTCCATTGTCCTTCGGAATTTTTTATTGATGCAAATATGATCTATCTGGTTCTTTGTGGTGTGGTCCGGTGAGATCTATGTAGCTTTGTGTATACGTTTGTGTGGAAAATTGTGCCTCCTATGACCGATTTGGTGAATGCACACAGATTTACGAATCCTTCCCCATTTTCGTTTCTCTCTCCCAGTCCACGTCGTCTCATGATATATTCATGTCTCGTGTTGTGTCTATTCCGACTTTGGCGATTAGATATCCCATCAAGATGACCAGGACTTTTCCTAGGCACTTTCCTTTGAGTACTTGCAGCCTCTCATAAGACTGACCATTATCGTCGTCATTGCTATCATAGGTGGGTGCATAACGTCGGATAGCATTCATTTTCATTCCCTCCTTCTTGGTTTTGAAGAATGATTCGATGATACTAGGTCCATGAGATTCACACTCAGTCGGTGAATTCCGTGCTTCTTTGGACAGCAGCAGAGCAACTCCCTGAACGTATGAAGCATCTCCCTCCTCGTGGCTGGAGTACAGCTGTATCTTTCCCGAATCTAATCCTTGCTGTCGAGCTTGGGTCGAATTGGTGGGCCTCGTGTCTTCCGAAAAATCTCGGCTTTCATCCTGAGGCGTCATAGTTCTTCCATCAACTCCCAAGGCAGAGGTTAACTGGTCCAAGTTGTGTGATCTGGTTGGCGTTTTCTGACAAGATATTTTTCTACGGGATGGGTTTGCCGACCTCATGCTCAACCCTCCTGCTTTGTGTGACTTGGAACCGGCAGTAACTCTAGAAAGGCTACAGAAGGGGTTTGATCCGGTAGACTAAACTATAAGCTATTTGTTCCTTGTTGTATCATTATGTACGTTGCAGACATACGTCATACTGTCGCACGCTATCTTTATTTTCGTCACAGTCATGGACGCTCCAAGTTTCCCGAAAAATCCTGTCACGAAAAAGCTCCATCTCGAAACCACGAGAAATAAATAATCCTGACTGGTGTTAGTACCAGAAAATGTGTAGTAATTCTTCTCGAGATTTCAGAAAATCATGCTAGCTCTCCAGATCTAAAGCACCTTTTGAAAAACCTCCTCACTGGATAGCAATAATGGCAACTGTAGACCGTAGACATGGCCAACTGTTTTACGTCATTGATATGATGACGAAAAATCACGATCTCATCAACATTGGAGCAGATGTTAGTGTTCTCCCTGAAAATCCTGGTGGTCCTCTACAGAGACCGATCTGCAGTTTACAGGTAGTAGATGAAAAACCGATTACCGCATATGTTAAGGTTTATCTTTATCCTAACGTGGGTTTACGTAAATCAATTTATTTTTTTACAAAGTGTCATTTTCTGGTTGTAGGTTATGCTTAATCACAGTTAAGCACATAATCGATCCATACTTTTGTTTGTGACATTGGATTCTAACTACAATCCCCAAGTCTGGACATGAGATAACTGGGAAAATAGACTTTAAACATGTAAAACTAAGAGACTATCAATAATGTGGAACGCGGGAACATTCATTTGAAAATTCAATCAATTGGATGTGATGGCTCAGCCTTGCAGGCGTGGTCATTCATGTGCAACTTATCACTTTTATTCATAATAAACCTATTGTTCTATCTTCAGCCTAAATGTGTTCTCCATCATATATTGGTGATTGTTACGATATGATAAGTCAGTGCAGACAATGATGTGACTTCTACGTCAGATCTCAAAAATTAGATACTCACGTCATAACAAATCTACAGTTTTAGGATACGGCCGAGAGTGGTGAGAGTTCGCTCTCCCTCTTGAAATGCTCTCACATGGCCACGCGTATATAGCCTCAGCCAGGGAAGTAATACTCATTGCCTTCTTGTGGCGTTACTGTAGTTTACGAAATTGGAAGGATGAAAAGAGAATGTCCGGCGCTTCGAACGGGTTGGTGCACATGGGGAGTCCACCTAGTAGAGTTAAAAACCCAGATTCCAAACCAAGGATGCACATGTGCCTCAGGATCCTGAAGGAAAAAATGGCGTACTCACCAATCTTTGGTCACCGGGTACCATGGGACTGCATCTCTTTACGATGCTCCACTGCCTTGTAGATCAGAACTCTCGGTCGAAGGCTCAGGGTGTGGCTCCCTAAGAAAACCAGCTGCTTTGGTTTGTGCACCCGAGCAGTATCACAGCCCTCACACATATCAAATGAGATTTGTGTTGCGCATATGCATTTGATGCCTCCTTGTACCAATATGTATGTGATGAAATAAATAAATAAACTTTGTGACACATCCGTAGGTATGGATCGTCTAATCATCCCGGGACATGATCGACTCAGTGTCATTAATAAGTTATACAAGCTTTCTCACATAGGTGTTCAAGCAGGAACGATTTTACTATCTAGATGTGAATAAAAGCCTCAAGTGATGGGTGCATCCCCAGTGCTCTCTCACAAGCTCGCTTCGGACACGTCCAAATCGGTATAGCAGGATCCTTACGAGATCCACATTGATATTCTTATCTCATGATGAGTGTGAATTGTTACATACGATGAGTATGGCAGTGCCTAGAAGGGGTGCTACTGCTGAAAAAGTGGCCCATGCCTTTATCAAACAATGGGTGGCAAACTTACAACACAATACTTTGACCTACAGAGAAATTATTAGGTCCTTCGTCTTCTATCATGAATGTGGATCTAAACTCTCACTTGAGGCGGCTTACAAATTCAGTGCACTCAGTTAAACCTTCTTCGACACGACATCAATCACGTGATGACTTCCTCCAGTAAAATGTGTTCGGAATGTCGATTTCTGTATGCACCCCCTAAAGGGACCCATTAAGTTGTTCACCTCGAACCCAAGTACTATACCATCAGTAGGAATGTAAACGATGACAACATCAGCATCGACTGTCTAAAAGTTGCTAACATACAAGGGAACCTCTTCACTACGAAAGAATGATCTTTTCTACGGAAGAGTCAAATAGCAAGCTTCCTTACGATGTTCCGGTACGTTTCAACTGGAACTTTGGAGTTACTGATTGTAACGCCTGATGAAGATTTTTATATTCCCTTTGAAGTCAGTACAGTTTGAGAGGGTTGACTGCTTGAAAATGGTTCAGCAAATTTACGTTCGTCCAACGCCATATTTTCGGCGTTGAGAAATGCAGTGCGGTAAGTGGAACTCCAGAGGGAAGATTTCATCAAACAGTTTATTGAGAGAATGCGCTGGTAGTTTTCAGTCAGCAGTAGTTCTTGGATCTCGGCCTTTTATCGAGTGTCTGAAGTGCCGTGTAGTACATCACATGGTTAGCAGACCCTGGCAAAAATTCTACACAGCCTTCCAACCGTCTCGAAAAGGATACTGAGGATTTCCAGTTGTTGTCTACCAATTTTCATAACACCGCAGTAATTGTTGGCCCAGGGATTTTTCTAAAGCAAAAGAATGCCCGGATTCGGTGTGTTTAGAGAGCTTTGATTTTACTGTACATAATTCGGATGCTTTGATAAAGACACTCGTCACCTTAGTAAAGTCTCATCTGTAGTATTGCAGCTGGGTAACGTGTATGGAAACATTTGAATGTATAATAAAACCATTAACCACATGACTAACTTACTTATATAGCTCAATCCGGTCTATTCTATTCTGGGAGTCACGCTTTCTAGGTTTATTAGTTTATGAAGAGAACAGAAAAATCCTAGTGTAAAAGTCATGTTTGAAAGTAAAGAATTTGAAGGAAAAGTGACATAACCAGGTTGCCTTTGCTGTTGATTCTATTCAGTTAATTGATTAATCAGGGTTAGTAACTCTGACCCCCAGTTAAATATTTGGATGCTCGGCGACTGCTCTTAAGAGAATAAGAGACTTATTCCCCCTGAGTCCAGTGTTACATCAGTAAATGTACAATACTACATACCCAAGTGTCTGAGAAAGCAGGGAGGATTTCGGGGTGTGTAATTCTATGTTATTAGTGTGTATGTCTCCTTCATCGTAAATTACACTTAAGATATCGTAAGTTAATACGTCTTACCAAATCCCTTAATCTGAGAGCATCTGTATGTTTATTCGTCACAGCGATTCCCGAAATACATGGGTGTTGGACTATTACTACGGATTCTACATACATATGTCTTGCAGGAAAGAAGTGAGCTATACAGGTGTAAAGACCGTTTACTTATGTTACCTAGATGGTAAACACGGAATAAACAATGCCTTTGGTTGGAAACAGAGGTTAAAGGGGTAACTGAATGTAGAAAAGTTTCATATGTTCCTTACAGAAATATCGACACGATGTTTGGCTAAGTGCTTGCAGATATCAGTCCCTGTTGAATAATATGAGTATTCGTGTCAAGGGTCTAAACCTGATATGTCCTCATTTTCGCTATCTCCGAAAATAAGGAATGCACGAATACACTATAGGAAATCTCAAAAGCCAAGAACAACATCACATGTTAGCTAACTATTAGTTTCCTCATCGAATCTTGTACGAATGTGACTTATAGTCTCAACACATGATTGAAACTCCATCAGTTGACACTTTCAAAAGAGAATTTCGTCAACTTAAGGATAATCACTGCCAAGAATCACACAAACTACTCAGCTTCCTATCCTTTCAGAACTGAAACTGAAAGCTGTTTACGTTGTGGCGCTTCACATCACATGCCATATAAGTCAATGGATCGATGACTAAAAGTCAAATCAAGGAAGAGTGGTTGAGAACTTATTTGGTTTGAATATGGATGCCCCTGGTCTTAGGAAGATCATCTGAGAGAGAATGGTTTATTATTTTCATTTAAGAATATTGAAGTTAATGTTGGACGTCGAAAGTCAGGTTGTGTTTTCCGTTGTGAACGCTACACCTGCGTGGTAGTGTTCGAGTTACAGCCCATACAAACTTAAAACCCCTAAAAAATGGTTGATATTGAGTTAAATGAAACCAGCGACAATAAGGTGACTGCAGTTACCAATGGCGACTTGTCAAAAGGAGATTCTTTGAGCAAGTCGGAAGATGTTCAAGATGAAACGCCGTACACAGTTAAGATAATTCCAACCCATTCAGATCCTTTCGAGTTACAAGTAATACTTATTAATAAAATCTCACTATTGTTAAGGTGAGCTCTTTTGAGCTTGTTCAAGAAATTCATCGTGTGTTAATGGATCGAGAAGAAACCTGCAGTTGCACTTGCTTTTCTTTGGTTCTAAACGGTCAGACACTAGATATGTTTGCAGAGTTAAAGTCAGTCGATGGTTTGGCTGATGGTGTTGAACTGAAAGTTGTGGAAGGTAGTCCACGATTGTGTTTACTAAGCTCCTATTTCAGAGCGCTATAGCGTTCGTGAAGCCAAAAATCATGTTCGACATATCCATGATCTTCTTCATTCAGTCGAGCCTAACGATGCATACGCAGGTAGAGAACAGATGTCCCTATCATTTGTCAATTCAGTAGCGGGAGAGCTAGGTAAATTTGGTCAAATTTCACTTTTGATTGTGATATTCGCTATATCAATTTTGCCTCGTTTTATCTTGACTCACCAACGGGTCTACTAAATGACTGTTGAAGAAGTCGATTAACTGCTCATGAAAATTCACAGGTTCCTAAAGTTGACATCATGGTGAAAATCAACGGGTGTAAGTCTTTTGTCAGCTTCTTCAACGACTGACTACACACTGCGATTTCTACACTGAGGACCGATATGTTTCCTTTATCAGATGTTTGTCTTTGCGATCGGTCTACATATTGCTTCCATGCTGTGTGGATTTTATAAAGAGTACGCACTGGGCGGTTAAAATAATCTACTTTACCAAGTTTATGTGCAAATAGGGCATCATCTCTAAGTAACTTTCAGTTTTCGTACTTTAGACTTAGTCGCGAAATAATAAACATGCCATATCAATCGCTAAAAACTTTGGTAAAGATCGAATCATTTGTATTAACCCGTGTTAAGGTTTATACGCTTTTGAGGTAGTGTTAACTTATGCAGGTTTGAAGCTGTCAAGTGGTAGGTTTCGAATAGTAGTACTGCATTTGGTATTAGAAGGTTCTACACAAAACAGTACATAATTACGGGCTACTTTGATCAGTAACTCATCCTCATATTCACATTATTCACACTGTTTTTATTAGATCATCATACCGTCTTAGCAATTTGAACTATGTATATGTAAAATGGGGTGAAGCTTTGAATGATGTCTAAACTGGAGATGCATTTATCATGAAAGTCTTAGGATTAACTCGTTTAATTCTTTGTTTTCTCTTCAGAACGCAAACATTTCCCTACCCGGTTAGATATGCGCATAGATTTCATACCACCTGAGTATGTTATGCCCGGTTTTGGTGCAAACACCAACCTTCCATTATTGCCTTTACATCCTTTGGATCGTGATGGAAAACCAGTTAAGTGCGTTCGCCAACTTAATTATAGTAATTGGAACCCTCCACCACCTGCAAGACGACTATTAGGAGATCTGATTTATTTATTTTTTCACACGTTAGAGGACAAAAAGTATCATATAACTGCTTGTCCCAGAGGATTTTATGTAAATATGTAAGCCAAAATCGTTAATTTTTGCACATTTTCATATTCAGTGTGTATATGTTTTATGTCTTTACTTGGTGCTTTCATTATTAATTTATATTATTGAACATCCCAACTGTTCTTAACAAAGTTGGTATTACAACTAAGCTTATATGAAAAATCCCTGATGTCTGATCTTGAGAGGTCCTTCAAAATGGTTGTCCAGAAATAATTAAATTGACTGAAGTTGTTATCCTAAAGGAATTCTTATTAACTTTCCTCACACACGGTCTTGTACACAAACGTGGTGATCAGGGTTTACGGTGATTGGTGAATAAATGAGCCACTATGTTTTTATATTTTGTTGTTGTAAGATTTAAGTGATCTCTTCAACTATTACTGTACGTCTTGTTATTCTTTAATTGTAGCGAATTATCTTTCTCCTGTTTTACAATTTTGGCGAAATTACATCTATATTATAATTTCATATTCGTGTCGCAGGGCGATAAATAAACCAATCTATAATATTGTAAGATTCAAGTCACATAAGATATACTATTGGACTGCTGCTTGGTGGGTATTAGCGGACTGAAAAGTGGTTGAATAAAAGTTTACATCCTTGACTAATAAGTTCGGGTTGTTCTCTCTCAAACTCAAGGTTTACTTTGTTAGTTAGGACGTACAATTTGTTGTAGCTTAAAATGCTAGTGATGATCGAAATATTGTACACCGGGGTCGGAAATATAACTAGGATTCTTACTTGCAAGTCGCTTTTCTCTCCAGATACTGACAAGTTCCATTTCTGTGCTGTATGGGTATAAAACATGGATTTTAAAGATGAGAAGTACACGTAAATTACGTTAATCCATTAGTCACTATGGAAACGTCAGATGAGGGATGAGAAGTCGATTGGTCAGGTTCAAAATCATATGCGTAATTTGTTGTAATACTACCTACATGTGGTCAGCCTCTATACATATGTTAAATAGTTTATAAATAACCTAAAAATATTAGATTCAGTCAAACGATCTATCAGTCTGTGATATCATTGACTATTATCGGTCGTATTATAAGGTATATATGTGGTAAGAGTCTTAATCTCAGTTGCATTCTTTAGGCTTTAGTGGGGCCCTTTATTTTGTCATCATTTAGATCGATGTTGCCGACGGGCTTTCCAATTTAGTGGTCCGAGATCTGACTCCAATTAGATCATATGGATGATTGCTGTCGAAATGTATATGTCGCCTTTCCTCGTATATAATCATCGACTTAAATCGCGTTAGTCAATAACGGAATTAAATAAGTCAAATAACGAGAATAGACTTATGAATACATATATTTTGTATATGAAGCGAATGGAATAGAGCGAAGCGAAATGATGCACAGTGGAGATGGCGAGTAAGCCAACTCCATTTTAATCAAACACTAGTCAATATTTATAGTCACACAAAAATAAATTCCAGACACGTAATGAATGGGATAAGAAGTGTACACACATACGCGCTCATATAAAACAGTCAAGATTGATAAATGAATAATTAACAAGGTCAAAATATGACTCAAGCAGAATGAGTAGGTTGGCCTATCCGAAAGCAAGAAGTATTTATATAGACTTAACATAATAACCGACACTACAGGGCAACATGATTTAGAGTTGAACCCAGTGACAGGTTCATTTTTTATCGAAATCCTGACCTTAATTTATTCCGTACTTACTATTCCACTTGATCAGTTTGGTTTTTGTCATTTTCAGTCCTAAAGATTGTTGTTAATGCATTATCGACTTATTGTCTGTTTCGTATGCTTATCCTGATGTTGAAAAGTGGTAACATTAATCGATGTATATTTATTCTGGTACCTGTGTGTTTTGGTGTCTGATGCTGACGACAACTAGGCAATACATTTTGTTGCATAGTCAGTGCAGTACGCGGTGCTGACTAGTGTTGGAGACGAGTGGAAGAAATTTAGGGGCGGTCAAACCAAAACGTGACATCAGTGCTTGAATTCACTAATTTGTAGTCTGAGCCATGTTGATAAATAAAGACTACTTAGTCGGGGTCCGTGCGACTATTGTAACCAATGGTTGGAGACTCTGAGTGACATGACTCAGAACCGATCACAGTGGCATTAGTGTATACACTCTTCGTCTTTCCTTAAACTAGGAGATTAAAATCGCCTTTCTTTCTACGATCTAATTCTCCTTGTATTATATCCTCATACATAATCTCTTATATATTACTGTCATTAAAGTAACTAGTTATGTGAATTTGGTAACCATCTTGCTGTGCTAATGAGGTGTAGCAGCTTGGATCGACGCATATATGCCCTGTCCTACATTGTAGCTGACTGAAAGCATTATCATTTTAGTTTTTGTCTAATTAAGTGTGGAATGTGTTCTAAACCATTAAGGATTTAATCCGTGCTTTTAACATGCTTCCAGAGAGACCGGTCTAAGACAAAGAAGGCAGGCCAATTAATGAAACTCAACAACAGCGGAACAGATAGGTAGATTACTTCGAGGAACTCCTTAATAGACCGGCTCCAATGAATCCGCCGGACATCGAAGCAGCACACACAGATCTTCCCATAGACGTCAATCCACCAACGAAGGAAAAAATCAGAATGGCCGTCAGACAAATCAAGAACGGGAAAGCAGCAGGACCCGACAACATACCATCTGAAGCACTGAAGTCAGACATTGAAGTAAGTGCAAACATGCTTTACCCTCTATTCAAAAAGATTTGGGAGGAACAAGTGCCGATGGACTGGAACGAAGGACACCTCATCAACATTCCGAAGAAAGATCTGAGCAAATGTGAAAACTACAGAAGCAATACACTGATGTCAGTACCAGGGAAAGTCTTCAACAGACTGTTGCTGAACCAGATGAAAGATGCAGTAGACGCCCAACTTCGAGATCAACAAGCTGGATTCCGTGAGGATCGGTCGTGCACAGACTGAATTACAACACCACGGATCATCGTTGAACAACTAGTTGAGTGGAACTCGTCACTATACATCAACGTTATTGATTATGAAAAGGCATTTGACAGTGTAGATAGGAGAACGTTATGGAAACTTCTTCGACATTATGGAGTTCTTGAGAAGATTGTCAACATTATCCGAAACTCATACGACGGACTACAGTGCAAGATCGTGCATGGAGAACAGCTGACAGATGCATTCCAAGTAAGGACCGGAGTCAGACAAGGTTGTCTACTCTCACCTTTCCTCTTTCTTCTGGTGGTCGACTGGATTATGAAGACCTCGACATCTGGGGTAAACATGGCATACAATGGACAGCTCAGAACCAGTTAGACGATTTGGACTTCACAGATGACTTAGCCCTCCTATCTCATACACACGAACAAATGCAGATAAAGACAGCCAGTGTAGCAGCAGTCTGCATCAGTAGGCCTCAACATACACGAGGGGTAAACCAATGTCCTGAAATTCAAAACAGAGAACAGCAATCCAATCAATCTTGATGGCGAAACTTTGGAAGATGTAGAATCCTTCACATACCTGGGAAGCATCATCGATGAACAAGGAGGCTCAGATGCAGACGTAAAGGTGAGGATTGGCAAAGCAAGGGTCGCATTTCTACAATTGAAGAACATATGGAACTCAAAACAACTTTCAACCAAATATCAAAGTCACAATCTTCAATACCAACACCAAGGCAGTTCTATTGTACGGAGCTGGAACTTGGAGAACTACAACAACCACAATCAGGAAGGTACAAGTATTTATAAACGGTTGTCTATGCAAGATGCTCTTCGTCCATTGGACGGATACCATCAGCAACAGTCAACTGTAGGAGAGGACAAACCAGCTTCCTTCTGAAGAGGAAATTAGGAAACGATGATTGAGTTGAACAGGACATACATTGAGAAAATCACCAAACTGCATCACGAGACAAGCACTAACTTGTAATCCTGAAGGGAAGCGGAGGAGAGGAAGGCATAAGAACACATTACGTCGGATAATAGAAGCAGATATGAAAAGGATGAATCAAAACTGGAAGGAGCTGGAAAGAATTGCGCAGTACAGAGTTGGATGGAGAATGATTGTGAGCGGTCTGTGCTCCTTCACGAGGAGTAACAGGCGTAAGTAAGTAAGTTTAAACATGCTTAAACAAAATATAATTTTACTTCAGTGATCAAAACGTTTGATGTAGGAATATCCCAGTAATCGAATATGCTTTGACGGATTTGAGCAAATTTAATGGCTAAAATCCAACTAAATTTTTTTTGTTGAGTCCTTTTCTGAACTTTTTGAATGATATTAATTTTGCAACTATTTTACTTGGTTAAATACTTCGTGTGAATTGTAATTTGATTTTCTATTTTAGGTCCACGGATGATCAGTTTAATCCCCACCCCATACAACATGCTTATGTGGCACATTCTCTGATCGATCTCCTACGTCAACTTAGCCCAGGATTCAAGCGCAATTTTGAGTCCCTTTTAAAAAATCGAGCTGCTAAACATCCATTTGAACGTGTTCCGACTCCGTATCAAGTTCATTCCTGGTTAGCGCCACTAGTTGAACATTCCCCAGATTCTGTAAGAAAAGAAGAAGGTATGTTCAAGTAAATTTGTCTAAATTCTCATTTTCAAAGCTTAGTTTTTTTTATCTCCCTACCCTCTCTGACTTGAATATGAAAAGACGTTTTAATAATAGATCATACAATTAATACACTTGTTAGTCAGGTCATCTCATCGAGGAATGTTCTAGTATACCTATCATAAACCAATGCAAATGATCGAGTTTTGTGACTACCTAAAAGACAATGAACTGTATTACTATTTCACTACACTAGATTTATTTATAACAGTAATTTCGCTACAAATATACCATAAGGCGATCGGCTACACGAACTTCAAACAATATTTTGAAGAAATAGAGGAGAAAGTATTGCATTCAACAAGCGAATGAACGAGAATAGTGTTTAGCAAAAAACTACTCAATTAAAATTACCAAGGTATGTCTTCTTCAGTTAAGAAGGTTCATCCTCCTCTTATGAATCATATATATATTTGACAGCTATGATGGTATTTCTTTTTGCATTAGCTTGAGTCAAAGGGCAAACTCCAGTTACGTTACTTGTTGATCATATAGTAATGGCAACTTTTCTTGTCAACACAATTCCATCTCCTTTGAAACAACCTTGTTTTATAAGTGGAAGTTAAGATATGTTTTAACTACTCACTTCTTACTGTTCCTGGTTTGGGTAATTTTTCAGCCTTTCACATGTGAAAGCGAAGGATATTTAGTTAAACTGGAACTACAAACAATGGAAACAGTTCGAAGTTGCTCACTAAAGTGATTCATTAGTAATTTAGCATCACGAGAGACTACTTGACGTACCTTAGCCCTTTCATAATGTTCAACAGTAAGTAGCTCTCTCGTTGTTTTAATAATCGAATATCCCTGTATCCTTAATTGTACTTAGAAATATTTTTATACATTTGTTTTAAAATTTACTGGATAAATAGCGTTTTCTTCTCGCATGGCGTGCGAAGAAAATTTGCCCGGTCAAACTAGGGACTGGAACGAAGAGCTACAAGTTACGCGCGAACTTCCACAGACGCGTCTTACAGAGCGGCTACTTAGAGATCGTGCTATTTTCAAATCAAACAGTGATTTCGTTGCTGCAGCAACTCGTGCTGCTGTTAGCGTAGTAAATGGAGATATTATGGCTATTAACCCAGGAGAAACACGTAAACAACAAATGTTTATATGGAATAATATGTTTTTCTCACTTGGATTTGATGTTAAAGATCATTACAAACATTTCGGCGGTGAATATGCCGCATATGCTGCCACAGTAAGTTCATCTTGGTTATTGGACCCCTTTATTTTACACTGAATGTGATTTTATTACGTTTGACTTCTCTTCGTTTTATGCATTCCTATGATTATACTGAAATGAAATTTTAATCGGTAATCATCTAATGAGAAAGTACTGTTACATTCTTAACTGCTTTGCAGTTTGATTGAGCTATACAGTAAACACAATAAAATAAATGAAAGTTTCACCAACGATTAATTCTGACTGTTCTTCCTAATTCACTTATAAAATCATATTCTCAGTGTTTTGTCTTCCTCACTTTGATTGCTACTATTTTTTCCGATCCCTTTGCTATCCATAATGCCAATGCTATCTCATGCTAATATAGTATAGTGACTTAAATCAACGCAAATTCGTTTGAGGTTGTTCATTGATTATGATTGACCTTACTTTGCGAAATTCGCCAATATCCACACTCGCTTGATCGGAACCTAGAATTTAATTATGTTATGACAGGACATCAATATAAGGCGAGTTTTAAGTATGGAAATACTTTGATCCAGTTTAGAGGTAACTGTAACTTGAAAATTCATGTAATTTGTTGAGAATTTGGTCCCAATTTAATACTGCAGTGTGTGCTACTGACGCCAACAGATATAAGTAGTATGTATCGTCAATGGGAAGTGAAATGACGGAAGGTTAGGAAGATCGAAGAAAAGAGGACGAGAACAGAGGATGATTGGTACGGAAACGAAGGAACAATAAAGTCTGAGACGATTGACTGTTATTTTGCAAATGAAGTATTTACTGTATGGTCCTCAGATTTTACTGAGATTCTGTGATTATATAATTCAAATACACTCGATTGTCCCCACTTGTGTTCTCGCTCACTTCGATACCATCTCATTTCTATACGAACCAAAAAGTATCTGGACTTTTGTTAAGCTATATGCTGTAACTTTAGAGCATAATACTTCTCTTAATCCTAAATGACAAGTCAATGGTCCAAAGAATGTAACGTAGCTAGTTACAAAAATCAGTATCTAATTGCATTCGGATTTATAAAATTGGTCATCAATAGTTGTCTTACATATCGATTATCTCTTTTTTTCCTCCAAAAGTCCCAATTCTTTTTTTATCATTTTAGTCTAGTGATTTGTGTGGAGTACGCGCATATTCAATGCTAGATCAACCTGGACTGTATACTCTTGGGACAGCTATTATTGATTACCGTGGTTTTCGCGTTACCGCTCAAACAATCATACCAGGTGAGACTATCAGTTTTCTGTATAACTTTCAATTGTTGGGCTGAGAAAATGGGTTTCAGCCACCACTTAGAATAATTTGGTAAGACAATTTGAAAGGCTCCAATAATATCCTCATAATCCAGAATTTACATTTTTCACAAATCCTTAACCTTTCTTATCGTTGCGACTGAAACATGTACATCATATAAACTCACGTTATCTGTTTGTACGTATTTGATAACTTCATTTTCAGAGTTCTTGCAAACACAAAGTAAAATTAAACAATGCTTGATATCTAATACTGTATGATTATTCTCTCAATTATCGCGTAGTGTATGAAGGTCATCCGTTTTTTATCTGTAGGTATTTTGGAGAAAGAACAAGAACAGTTGGTTGTTTATGGTTCAATTGATTTTGGTAAGACAGTGCTCACCGACAAACGTTATGAAGAGTTATTGTCTAAAACGGCTAAACAATTGAAAATCAAGCCACACAAGTAAGTTTTGTACTTTGTTCATCTAACTGTATAGTTTCATTCCATAAAAAACGAGTGTGTTTATACTGCATTAATAAAATTGTGGTTAGCTTGCGAATAAATTGCCAATCGGATACTATTTAAAGCTAGAGTTTATCAAAGAGCAATGATCTTAACACTGAAACAGCAAATGCAGTTAAGAAACAAAGTCGACTGACGAATGTGAAGTTTTAAAGAATACTAAAAATTGAGACTACTTGCAGGCTAAAGAATGTGTATATCAATTGATTTTGACTCAAGACATGCATTCCTATAAACCTTGACAACAGCCCTCTCAGGTGATCTCAGATTACTCAGTTTTTATTAATAAATGCTAATTTCCTCTCTTTTATTGATAACAACGAGTGAACTTTTTTTCTAATTCGTATTCTGGTTGACTGTCACCACTTCTAATTTGCAAATTTTCTGTTTCAAGGTTATGTTTTACTGTGTCTACGGAGATCCCCCATTCCAGTCATTTTTCATAGAAAAGCAAGCTTTTTTTGTACTCACCTTAATCTTGGATTTTATCATTCAACGATTATCGTCGAAGCGTTGTGTGTGGCAGTTGCCTTAAAATTGAGTGCACGATAAATTCCATTCGCACTAGAGTAATATCGGTTGCTTTGAGTTGGCATATTAACGCAGAATCGACCGACCCAAATTTCAAGATCCAGAACAGCTACTCATGTGATCTACCTTGGTATACAGATTTATGTTCTACCAATATATATTTGGGATAGGAACTAGCATGAAGTCTACAAACGTGTCTTATTGCTTCATTTATTGTTTCAATTTCTAGCGTTTCGACAGGTGTTTTAGAAAAAATACATCTAAACTACGGCCGAACTCTGTAATCAGATAGTTTACATTGCATATAAATAATAACTAATGAACCGTTTTAAATGAAAATAAAATATAGATGGTCTCATGTTATACATCCACAACGTCGCATTACTTTAATCACTAAACGTTAAGGTTTCTGATATAATTTCGTGTTGAAACTAATTCCAGTTTCAAAGGGATCTTCACTAACCACCTATTTACAAAAACCTAAAACAGTATATTATTTAAAATCATAGCTGGAGCGTGAAGGGTTCTTATTTTATTGGTTTTGGAGCTATGCAATGCACATTTCAGCATTTATTTTTCGATAAAGAAATCTTTCTCAAACTTTATTTATGTCTAGTTTAGATAATCCCACTTAGTCAATCTTACAGATAAATTCGATTACTTATAGTCCTCCTCTGTAGTCTTTAGTTTGGTCTGTTTAAAGTAGTGTTAATAACGGATAATAACAATAATACTGGCATAATTATGTTATTTGTTTTGTTTAGTTTATTTTAAATACCTTTTAAAACTCATTAATTAAATTTACAGGGTTGTCAATCAGTCAGGTGATGCAATACAGTTATATTCATCTGTGGATTGTAAAGGAATTGTTGGAAATGATAATCGAACTTATATTCTGGATTTACTACGTACTTTCCCACCAGATCTTAACTATTTAGATAATGGTAGTGATATACGACCTCAATTGTCTCCTGAATTGGTGAAATTAGGTTATCCTTATCAACACCGACATATGTTGGCGACTTTAAGACAAGAGTTGATCGAGGCATTTTTTGAGTAAGACTATATTTATCTATTTATGTCTGGTAACTACACACATAACACTCCTTTAAAAATCATTATTTATTATGAATTTTGGTACTAAGCTGATTGACGCGTAAATATCGTGTTACCGTCATGTAGGCATAATCCGACTCACACGTTCGCATCGTGCCTCCTGGATAGTGAGACGAATGTTTCATGAACCGACGTGAGCGGTAACCCGGGTGGTGGAGATCGGGCTAATCACCCACTCTACCTATACCCACCAACTGATTACGAACTCCACAGATAAACATAGCACAACTACATTTGGAATGGAAAAAGACCAAAATATTCTCGAAAGTGGTGCATGTATCATATGGAGTTGCTCGTCATTGGGCAAACTCCAAAAGTTTTCAGAAACAACCATTATAGTCCCGGTAGTCGTGTCGTGATTCGATGTGGCCTGTTTCTCTCCAGAAGGGCCAATAGGCTTCACCAACTTGTTTGGCTGGAAGGGGGCTCATGTAGTAAGTACTCGCCATGATGTTTCTTAACATCTGTTTGTTAAGAGTAGAATACTGGTTTTCCTTTCTTGTCTTGACCTGCTATTGAAGATAATTAATACAAGAATCTATTGCTTTGTAACAGCTAGGTGGTTGAACCAAGCTACTTGCAATGTAGTTTCTATCCTTGATGCTCTATTAACTAGATCATTGGAGTGTGGTCCCCTAATGAGACCACTTGCTTCCGTTTGGGCAGTCGAGCAGTACCTCGGCCCTCACACAAGTCAAATGATTTGTTGGGCGTATATATATTTGGTGCCTCCTTGTACCAATGTTTATGTGTTTAAATAATAAATAAATAGAATTAGGTTTCCAACTTGTAGTTTTCTGCATCTCGTAAAACTCAGACATGAAGTGACTACAGATTAGTTAGTATCTTGCTAACGAACTAACCATACCTTATTGGTAAATTCACTTTTTTATTGGTTATTTGAGTCTTCTCATTGATGTTTAGGATTGCAATTCATCTATCTCTTATTGACATATGTGCATCTTATGCGGATCACCTCGATATTGCCTTAACACACAAGTATTGTAAGCAAATATAGATGGTGCCTAGCAGTGGAATGCGAAACGCGTTTCGTCCTATTTCGGAATCGTTAGCTGAATGTAACTTAGTGGTTTTTCCGTGAAAAGTACATTGACTACCATATTCCTTTCATCAGGTTTTAACTGCTATTTGTTTTCGATTTCTCGCTGTACATAGCCATCGTTATGAAAAGTTTCTACGTCTGGCTGCTCTAGAGATTCAGAAGGGTAAATCTTCCTTAAAAGGTGAATGTGATGATCAGGTAAGAAGCGTCTGCATTTTCCCATTTTTTCAGCTCTACATGTTTCATTTTTTCCTTTTGCTATTTTATGTTGATTGATACTTATTTGAAGTCCTACATTATTTATCATTCATTAATCGGTCGTTTTGATGCCCACCCCAAATGCCCTTGTACGACCGGGGGTGGGGAGAGTCCGCTCACCTTCTCGAAATGCTCTTACATGACCACACATATACAGCCACTGCTAGGGAAGTCATATTCAATGCCTTCTCGCGGCAGGGGTGTTTACGAAATTGAGAGGACAAAAAGCGAATGTCCGGCGTCTTACCTGGGTTGGCGGATACGGAGGATTCACCATGGAACTGCATCTCTTCACGTCGCTCCACTGCCCTGTGGATCAGACCTTCAGGCCGAAGGTTCCGTGAGTGGCCCCCTAAGTAAACCACCCGCTTCGGTCTGGGCACCCGGGCAGTATCACAGCCCATACACAAATCAAGTGACTTGTGTGGCGCATATTTATTCGGTGCCCCTTTGTACCAATATTTAATTTGTACCAAATTAAATCAACGAGAAAGTGCTCATTCGTCACTGAATTTATCAACCATACGTTGTTGCATTCTTTTATAGGGCAAGGAAAATAGTTAGTCATGTGCAACGTAGGACTGAGCCATGTCACTCAGAGTCTCCAACCATTGGTTACAATAGTCGCACGGACCCCGATTAAGTAGTCTTCATTTACCAACATGGCTCAGACTACAAGTTAGTGACTTCAAGCACTGATGTCACGTTTTGGTTTGACCGCCCCTAAATTTCTTCCACCCGTTTCCAACACTAGTCAGTATCGCGCGTCGTGGTAATCAGTGTTTAGGCATACGTGGTGACACGTGGTCGAACCATCTTAGTCGATAAAAATTTACAACCTCATCGACTGATTTACCATCATACTCTAATACTTTGTGTCAAGCCTCACTTCCCAGCAGATGCGAGCAATATTTCTAAGGCGTCCTTGGCCAAATACTAGTGGCTTACGAGTATCTTCTACACTTAATGGCCACATTTCGCAGCCATAAAGTAAAACAGAACGAACTGCCGCGTAGTATACTCATCGCTTAATTGGTAGACGCACATCTCGCCTTCGCCATAGGTCACGTAAGTTGGCAAAAGCCAAACGAGCTTTTTGAATCCGTGTTGAGATTTAGTCAGACATCAATTCATTTGGGTTAATCAGACTTCCAAGATAAGTGTTGTCGACGTGTTTGACTACTTCACTCCCTACCCTTAGTTCAGGTGTTGACGCAGGTCAGTCTTGGAGCAACAACTTGCATTTAGAGTGGGAGAAGAGCATCCCAAACATCCTGGTATTGTTGCTCAGTGATACCAAAAAGCTCTGCATTTTTATCAGCGTCTTCACGAAACAGGACTATGTCATCTGCGTATTCTAAGTCGATAAGTGGATTTCCTGGTAGAAAATCAGTGCCCAGAAATTCAGTGGACGAGAACGTTGTTTCCAACAGTCGATCTATGATGAAGTTGAAAAAAAATAGAGATAGTGGACAGCCTTGACGGACACCACTTGAGGTTGCAAAAGCAGATGACAGTTCGCTATAAGCTCTAACTCGACTGGTAGTGTCGAAGTAAAAAGCTTTTACAAGGTTTATGTACTTCTGAGGTATACCTTCCAATGACAGACACTGCCAGAGAACTTCTTGGTCTGCAGAGTCAAGAAAGAGCACCGTTGTCAGACGCCGATCAGCACGCCTATGTTCTAGAACCTAACGAATGGTGAATACTTGGTTGATGCAGTGACAATCGGGTCTGAAGCTAGCCCGATTTACTGTGTTTGCATTTCACGAATCTTTGTTAGGCGCCCGATAACTATTGAGGCTATTATTTTAGATGCTATGTTAAACTAGTCCCTGTATGATTATCACAGGATGATTTTGACTCTTTCTTATATATTGGAACAATCAGTGATTATGACCAGTCAGATGGAATTACGTCCAACTCCCAGAGTTTAGCTAAAATATTAGTCAACCTAATCGCTTAAACTGGATCACCATACTTAAATATCTCTGGAGCCAATCCATCTGGACCAGCTACTCTTCTTCGTTTCAGATTAGCTATAGCTTTTTGAAGTTCAATTAGAGTCGAGGGGTTTACTTCATTGTTCCTTTCAGGCTGTTTATGAATGGCGGGTAGTTGTAGGTTAGCTGAAGGCCAGCTGTACTTGTTAAAGTGTTCCGCCTATCGTTCTAAACGTCTGGACTGGGAGCAGATGAAAGTAGCGTCTTTTTCCGAAATCATCTCACACTTCTTAATTCCACTTTCCTTTATTAGTCTGAAAAGCTGTCTGGTGTTACCTACAGTCGCCATTTTTTCCATCTTTTTTGCTTTCGTTGCTCACCACTACTCACAATCACCCCTTAGACTTTTGGTTAATGTAGATCTGATTTGTTTACGCTTCTCATCGTGTTCAGAGCCTGATGTGATAATTTTACTACAATCTATCGTGACCTTTTGGTTCAAATCACCAATAGATATCGCTGCTGTTTCTATATCTTTTCAAGCAACATCTGTGTCAACCTCGTTTTGAGAACTGCTCAAGTGTGATCTCGGTTGTTCCTGTAATCTAATCTACTTTTTACTTTCTTGTCACTGAGTTCAACTCTAATGGGTCTTAATGTAGTTTTTCTGCGTCCAGTGAGGCACAAGCAAATATGTGCTCGTATTAGAGCATGATCAGAATTTAAACATGTGCTCCAGAACAATTGGCAGTCTTCTATCGAGCTTCTTCGTCGTATCTAACTATCTTAACAACGATGTTTGATCATTTTTCTCCGCGTATGATTTCTTGTTTCGCTTCGAATATCCATCTCAGTTTTTAATGAACTAAGCTATTTCCAACTCTTCTTTTCTGATCTCTTTACTCTGTATATCACTTTAAACTTCTTGCAGCTGACAGGAAATTTTAAAACAATTAGATTCGATGCATCTTGTTATTTTTGTTTAGTCAGATCAGTTTTGTTGTCTCATTTATGATTTGCTTTTAAATGCAATTCATATTACTCATGTTTACATGAATTATATATTTTTGTATGTATTATAGGATGCTGCTGGTGTGCAAAATGGACAAGCTAACTGTTCAAACACTAATGATGATCCCTTATCTCCCAAAGATAGTCTAATTACAACCAAACACCAAATAGACCACCATGATGTTACTGGACACTCCAGTAATGCTTTGAACTCAGGGATTGGGACAATAAAGTCTCCAAGCAAGAATCAATCAGATGATTTAAGCCTGATGAAAAGATTACTAGAAGATGATCAAGACACACAAAAAAGTGATTCGACTTTCATTGATTTTTATTATCTCTGTTTTAACTCTTATCTTGAATACAAATTTTCGCAGGCGAAAGGGTGTATATTTCTTAAGCTTGGGTATACTTTTTTGTTCTGATGAAATTGTGTAACTACGTTTGAAACAGTGGAGGGAGGGGAAGGACTTACGGGGTTTATTATATCCAAAGTTCACTAGTCATCATGGAGGACTGGGTGCGTGTTTTTTGTATTTGAGACTAACACTTCAACAGCCCTCATTCAAAACCCTCGACACGGAACCTAACCTAGGATTTAATAACCTATCAGTATACTCCCAACTTCAATGGTTCTTAGTCCCTGAACAAAATTAAGTTCAATTTCAGTAGTATGTAGTGAATAAAACAAGCGGCTTTCAGTCAGTAGGTTTCAAGTATGAATTATGACACATCTAAATCGGTTCGAGCAGCCGGATAATAACATTATTGCTAATAAATTATTCTCAATAGTTCAGTGGAGATTTTCTTATTTGTAACTAGAAAATGCTTCCCATTACAAAGATATGAAAAGGTACTGAAACTATCCATAACCGCTACTTTGATGAATTGGTAATCGGTTTAGCCTATCGTGTCTAATAAGTTCATCTACATAATCTGGAACTTGTTTTTCAAATTTTCACATGTTCAGAACAGCCAGCTAGATTAAGGTTCAAAGACAAAAAATGCATTGACGGTAACATTTTTTGCCTTAGCGTTAAGCTTTTCTATCAGTTCTGTCTAAATAAAGCATTGCAGTTGTTATTCACCGGTTTTCAGTATTGTTTCTTCATTTTAACTTGTTATTTAAACGCCTGTAATTTTTCTTTGATATTTTAACTCTTATTTTTGTTCAGATGACGTAATTCGAGAAGCTATCCGCAAAGCAGCAGCAACTGTCGGTTCTCTGAGTACAGATCGTTTTGAGCTTACATTCAATCCTGATATTTATCAGAAATTTGTCAAATTTTGTGATTCAGAAGTAAGCATTTTTGTGACACTCAAGTTACATTTCCTGTATGTAGATTATGTTGAAGCATGTATTAATTAATCAATCTGTTGACCTTTACGTTAGTTGTAAATGGAAATATGTTGTTTATTTGTCATCAATAAATGGGTGGTGCTATCGGGGATTTAAACAGCTAAATTTCAACCGATAGTTGTGTAACTAATTATTTGAAATTTATAAATTTGCATAGTAATTTGTACAATATTTCTCACTTGTACAATTTTTTTTACTACTAATCCTGTAAAATGTTCCGAATGAACCATATGCCTAATGAAAGTTTCCTTTGTTTGCCATTTTTGATTGTTAGCCATGGATGATTGCTGGAAGAGAATTCTCGTTGGTTATTGCATTACCTTCATTTTTATTACTTACTTTCGCCTGTTACTTCTCGTGAAGGAGCATAGGCCGCTCACCAGCATTCTCCATTCAACCCTGTCCTGGTCAATCCTTTCCAGCTCTTTCCAGTTGTTCTTCATCCTTTCCATATCTGTTTCTATTTCTCGACGTAGTGTGCTCTTTGGCCTTCCGCTTTCCCGTTTCCCTTCAGGATTACAAGTTAGTGCTTGTCTCGTGATGCAGTTTGGTGATTTTCTCAATGTATGTCCTGTTCAACTCAATCATCGTTTCCTAATTTCCTCTTCAGAAGGAAGCTGGTTTGTCCTCTCCTACAGTTGACTGTTGCTGATGGTATCCGTCCAATGGACGAAGAGCATCTTGCATAGACAACCGTTTATAAATACTTGTACCTTCTTGATTGTGGTTGTTGTAGTTCTCCAAGTTCCAGCTCCGTACAATAGAACTGCCTTGGTGTTGGTATTGAAGATTGTGACTTTGATATTGGTTGAAAGTTGTTTTGAGTTCCATATGTTCTTCAATTGTAGAAATGCGACCCTTGCTTTGCCAATCCTCACCTTTACGTCTGCATCTGAGCCTCCTTGTTCATCGATGATGCTTCCCAGGTATGTGAAGGATTCTACATCTTCCAAAGTTTCGCCATCAAGATTGATTGGATTGCTGTTCTCTGTTTTGAATTTCAGGACATTGGTTTACCCCTCGTGTATGTTGAGGCCTACTGATGCAGACTGCTGCTACACTGGCTGTCTTTATCTGCATTTGTTCGTGTGTATGCGATAGGAGGGCTAAGTCATCTGTGAAGTCCAAATCGTCTAACTGGTTCTGAGCTGTCCATTGTATGCCATGTTTACCCCAGATGTCGAGGTCTTCATAATCCAGTCGACCACCAGAAGAAAGAGGAAAGGTGAGAGTAGACAACCTTGTCTGACTCCGGTCCTTACTTGGAATGCATCTGTCAGCTGTTCTCCATGCACGATCTTGCACTGTAGTCCGTCGTATGAGTTTCGGATAATGTTGACAATCTTCTCAAGAACTCCATAATGTCGAAGAAGTTTCCATAACGTTCTCCTATCTACACTGTCAAATGCCTTTTCATAATCAATAACGTTGATGTATAGTGACGAGTTCCACTCAACTAGTTGTTCAACGATGATCCGTGGTGTTGTAATTCAGTCTGTGCACGACCGATCCTCACGGAATCCAGCTTGTTGATCTCGAAGTTGGGCGTCTACTGCATCTTTCATCTGGTTCAGCAACAGTCTGTTGAAGACTTTCCCTGGTACTGACATCAGTGTATTGCTTCTGTAGTTTTCACATTTGCTCAGATCTTTCTTCGGAATGTTGATGAGGTGTCCTTCGTTCCAGTCCATCGGCACTTGTTCCTCCCAAATCTTTTTGAATAGAGGGTAAAGCATGTTTGCACTTACTTCAATGTCTGACTTCAGTGCTTCAGATGGTATGTTGTCGGGTCCTGCTGCTTTCCCGTTCTTGATTTGTCTGACGGCCATTCTGATTTTTTCCTTCGTTGGTGGATTGACGTCTATGGGAAGATCTGTGTGTGCTGCTTCGATGTCCGGCGGATTCATTGGAGCCGGTCTATTAAGGAGTTCCTCGAAGTAATCTACCTATCTGTTCCGCTGTTGTTGAGTTTCATTAATTGGCCTGCCTTCTTTGTCCTTGACCGATCTCTCTGGTTTACTATATTTCCCTGTTAGTTTCTTTGTTGTATTACAAAACTGTTTCAATATTTCCGTCTCTTGCGGCTTTTTCAGCTGTCGTTGCTGGTTTTTCCACGTATTTCTGCTTGTTGGCACTAATGTTCCCCTTCACTTGCTTGTTTGCTTCTATGTACTCAGCTAGTGCTTAGATTTTCTCTACTCGTGTTCGGCTGTTGTTAATTGCTGTCTTCTTGTTCTTCCTTTCTTTGGTCCTGTCCAGTGTTTCTATGGAGGTCCATTCCTTATGATGATGCTTCTTGAGGCACGTTGAAGTTAATGCTTCTTTGATACCTTCCCAGTTGTCTTCCATAGTAGTTTCTTCTTCTTTCAGTAGATCCTGTAAGGCTTGGAACCTGTTGCTGAGAGTTATCTTGAATTCATTGAGTTTGTCAGTATCTCTAATGAATGCAGTATTTAACCTTTGTAGTGCTGTTTGTCCAGTTGTCTAGTTCTTCTTTAGCTTCAGTTTTAAATTGGCCACAACTAGGTGGTGATCTGAAGCTATGTTAGCTCCTCTCCTGGTTCTCACAACTTCCATTGTCCTCCGAAATTTTTTATTGATGCAAATATGATCTATCTGGTTCTTTGTGGTGTGGTCCGGTGAGATCTATGTAGCTTTGTGTATACGTTTGTGTGGAAAATTGTGCCTCCTATGACCGATTTGGTGAATGCACACAGATTTACAAATCCTTCCCCATTTTCGTTTCTCTCTCCCAGTCCATATCGTCTCATGATATATTCATGTCCCGTGTTGTGTCTATTCCGACTTTGGCGATTAGATATCCCATCAAGATGACCAGGACTTTTCCTAGGCACTTTCCTTTGAGTACTTGCAGCCTCTCATAAGACTGACCATTATCGTCGTCGTTGCTATCATTGGTGGGTGCATAACATTGGATAATATTCATTGTGATCTCCTTTGTTTTGAATGAGGCTTTGATGGTACTGGATCCGTAAGATTCCCATCCTACAAGTGCATTTCGTGCTACTTTGGACAGCAATAGAGCAACTCCCTGAGTGTGTGGAGCATTTTCCTCTTCGTGACCGGAGTATAGCAGCATCTCCCTGATTTAGCCTTTGCTGTTCAGCCGGGGTCCAATGGGTTTAGCTGATTCCTCATTTCCGTTACTATTTGATTGGTCTTCCCGGTCTCCCATATTGTTCGGACGTTCCATGTACCTATAAAAATTGTTGATCTGGTTGTTAGAAAGGGCATCGGCCCAGTGGCTTCCGAAGGAACTCGACTTTCACCATGAGGCGTCATAATTATTCTAAAAGAAGACCTAACTCCCATGGCTGAGTTTAAATGGTTTGAATTATTTTTTCTGGTTAGCGTTTTTTTAGCGAGTTAGTTTTCTACGGGATGGGGTAGCTAACCCCGTACCCAACCCTCCTTTGCCCGGGTTTGGGACCGGCAGTAACTGTAGAATAGCCACAGGCGGAGTTTTCATTTATATTCCCAGTTGTTAATATATCATGTAATAATTAACCCATTCATGTCACTTACTTCACTGAATGGCCTTTAATTCTTCGTGTATTCACATCAGCCGCCAGTTGGACAGTGTTTGTTTTTCGAAATTCACTTTTTTTGATAAAATTTCTATACATGTCTCAGACAGATATTTACTCTTCTGCATTTTAGGAACAATCATTAACAGTTGATCAAGAACTAGTATGCAGTGCTTGCGAATTTCTGGTTTTAAAACAAATTCCAGCATTTGTTAAAGACGCATTAAATTTGTGCATCACTCCTCAAGATGGTAGAGCTCTGATAGAGTTAATGCATCAGCGGTAAGTGGTGTTAATATTTGATCACCTAGTTTTTATTACTATATGAGAGTTTTGGATTATGATTAGGAATTCTAGTTTGTTTGCATAAAATATTCTATGTTCTATTGGTCGTCTTAAATTGACAAATGAATATTGATAAATTTGCCTTCACAGTAAAGAAATATTCTCGTTTATGATAAGTTACTAGTCTCATTATCAGAGAGTTTTGTTGAAAAATGACATGACTATTTTGATGTAGACTTTGATAGCCTTATTTTATTTTCATAACAGAACATGCTTTAAAAGGTCTTGTACAGCATTTATTGTAATCAATTAAAGAACATTTTAATGACTAGTTAATTAACTTATTTAATGCATGTGCAGTGAATCTTTAGGTTTAACAAACGTTGCGGTATATGACATCATTATTTTTGATAACAATGCAATATGATTAACAAGCTATTCAGATGATTGATGTTGACTGCAGCCCATATGATTTTTACTTTTATGTTGTCTTACCCAGAAACCGTTTAAATTACATTACAGATTGCATTATGTTGACTCAAATAAATTTCCAAAATGCTTGAACCAGCTGTTCTATTCTAGAATAATTCTCCTTGTTTCTTTTTCTTTCGCAGTGGCATTAATGTGCGTTATTTGAATCGTGTAATCGAATCAGTCAGTATTCACCAGTCGTTAGGTTATCTCAAAGTGAGTATATACACCTGTCCATATCTTAAATATTAGTGTACAGAACAAGAATATCATATTATCATGTTTTTAACTCGGTTCTTTTCTTCTTATTATTATTCACGTAGTTGCATATTGCGAATTTTGATACTCATCTCTTTTGCTCTGCTTTTTGTGCTTACAATCATCCATGTTCGTTTGTTAGATGTTAATTGTTCCCTTACAAACTGGAATTGTTTGTTGAGATGAAAAAAATGAGTTGACTAAGTTACCAATTAGTAATTAAATTTCATACCTGTTCTTTGACTGTCAATGATATTTATACGAACGAGTCTGTACATCATAATGCTCTGACAAACTATAATTTTTATGTAGATCGAGTTTTGGGGATTTACAAAATACTTCACTAGACTAACATATAATTAATTATGATTTTACTTGTCATAAATGTGTTTATTTGAAGTGTTATCGAAAAATGTAAAATCTTCAGTAGTTTTTGTTGTAGCGAAGATAAGTTTGTTTGTAAATTCACTACAATAAATAAGTTCATGAACTTATGATCCAGACGTACGTTTCCTTACTTGATTAGATTTCAATGGGAGGGGGTTAGCATCACAATTCCCTAGGGTAGTTGCTGTTTTATGTTTGTTGTCAAGATGTTCAGTATTGTTCACTTGTTATGTCACTGTTGTTCATTCTCATTTTTCTTAACTTAATCGATCACAATGGCGTCGGTGTATACACTCCCTGTCTTCCCTTAAACTAAGAGATTAAAATCGCTTCATATCTTTCTTTCTACGAACCAATCCTTTCTTCTTGTACTCTATCTCTATATGCAATCTTTCTCTTATATATTACCACCTTTTACCTAACCACTGTTATGAATCCGGTGGTCATCTTGTTGTGCTGATGCGGTATGGCAACCTGGACTGATGCACATATGTGCCTGGTCCTACGTTGTAGCTGACTGACTGACTAACTTAATGTTGTGCAACAGGTTACATTAACCGTTTTATTATATGTTTATGTTCCCTTGTTTTATCTAGAAAATGGCTATTTGCGAAGTTTTGTTACGGTCTGCAAAACATTTATTTAAAACATATCTTCAAGATGTTGATCCTATGCTTCTTTCTGTTGGGGTTGCTCATTTTCTCAACTGTTTTCTAACAGCATGTCCTAATCTTACACCGTTACTTGGGATTGATGAGGTGAGTATATTTGTTTGATTGAATTAAGATAATTGTGCGCGTACTTGCATTCAGTTAACTGTGTGTGTGTGTGCTATTACATATAATCCTGTTCTGCTTAGCAAATGTATTAAATAGTGCTTTATTAATTACTTGTTAATATGATGAGATTTAATAGTTTCATAATTAATTTGTAATCGTTTTGATTATCTAATTGTTAATAGTTTGACTGAAACTTGATCCCTCTTAGTTGGAGTATCTACATCCTGTGCGGATCGCCTCAATATAGCCATTATGGCACAAGTTTATGTGAAATAGGTTGTATATGGTTAGCAGTGTAATCCAGCACACGCGTTTCATACAGCTAACGAGTTCCAAATAGGACGAAACGTGCATCTTGGATTCCACTTTTCGCCACATCCAATCTATTTTATATAAAAAATTCTGTATCTTAATAAACAATTTTGAATTATCATTACTATTTTTAATATCATTTTCGAATATATGCGTTCAACGGTCAATTATTTTCGTTAATCTAATGCTATGCTACACTCTGTGATATTGTATTTTCTAAATCGGTAATTTAACACAAATGATTTTATTTCGTTCTTTTTTTACTTCAATGGTAGCAAGTTCTCAAACTGAATCGTAATAAAAAGAATAAGAAGAAATTGAAAAATCTTCGCGAATCACCAGGTTTGTTTTTATTGAGTTTCATAAAGTTGTATTTCATATACGCTGTACGGTAATCTCAAATTATAGACAATTGGTATTACAATTATCACGTAACAAAATTCAGTATTAGTGAACAGAGACTTTTCATCATATATATACTTCTATATTGCCACCTTTACGTGTTATCAGTAACATTATAAACTGTATGGTTATTTGCGCCTCCACAGTCTAATCGATGGATTTGTGTATAAATACCCTAAAGCAGTTGTATTACATCATAATGTATTGTGTTGCTGGAATTTTGACAATTAATGCTCTCCTTAACTTTGTAGTTCTACATTTAAATGTAAGCTAGCTTACTAAAATCCATAAATTGTTTTTCAGTTTGAGTATATCCAACTTCTATACGTTTAAATTGTTGGAATGTATATTTAACATTGTGCTTATATTTAATCTGTAATTCAATGGAAAATTATTCATTCTATGTATACTTGATATAGAAAATAAATAATTGAATTTGTTTAACATGGTGTTTCTAACAATTTTTTATTGTTTTATTCCTTTCGCTTAACAGAAGAAATGGCATGGCTTAATGAAACACATTCCAGTTTATGGTCTGAAATAATTAAAGAAGCTAAGGAATATTATCATTATCAAATAACTGCGTAAGTTAATCGTTCTAGTCAGAAACGACTAGAATTTCGACTTAGTCAGTTAGCCAGCCATGGATTCTTGAAGTAAAATTTCTCAAGGTGACGTACAATCTAAAAAAAAGAAAAGCAAATTCATCTTTTTTGTTGCAAATTATGTCACCTGTGATATCCGACCATTGATTACAATGAACTTTCTACTAGGTTGTCTGCACCTACCTACATTGCTGTCCAGTAGTCACTGTCTACTTTGAGCTGTTGCTGCGTCTCGTTTCTTTTCCCCTAACGTTCTTCCAATCTAGTACACCAGATGACATCACACGTCGAAGTAGGCGGTGATTGGGTTTACGTAGCACCATATCTCATCTACGTGAGTTGATAAAGAGTCAACACATCAACTAATTTGGCATCTTTACCGAATACTCCTATATATAACCTCAGCACTGCTCACTCGGTGGTCCCATAATAAACGGGAGATGCTTCTAAGACATTTTTGATCAAATACTGGTAATTTACGGATATTATCTGTTCTGAATACCCATATCGGTTGTTGTTTTTCAACATTTTTTTAAACTGATACCAGCTAGTCCCTTAATGAACGTCAACATTGTATAATACCTTGAATAGGCCTTTGTAATTTAGTTTATTATTACTATTATTATTTATTATCATTATCATCTTAGTGTCCTTGAATGCAAGCATAAATACCGAAAATTTGAACTACATAATTAATTACGACTATGAACTATTTAAAGTTTCATAGTGATTTTGGTACTTATTGGATAGTTTTCTTCCTCATGGTCACGCTACAATTTTTATGTGTAATTTTTCATGTAAAAGATCTTCAGTTTGGTGTTGTGTGAATCATTAAGTTTCATTTTTATCATGAACCGATAAATGTCCGATCACCATCGTAGATTGGACACTAACACCTTAGTTTGCCAGCTCAGTGGTCCAGAGGTCGTGTTTATGCGTAAGACCTAAGATGTTGAGTTCGAATCCGGCGTGTGGGATCTTGGATGCGCACTACTGCGATGTTTCATACTAGAACAAGACGACCATCCAGTGCTTCCATGTTTTCAATAGTGGTCTATCACTTATCGATTCATGATTTTAATATAAAAGATTGTTTATCGCCTTAAATAATTCTGTAATGAAAGATTGTGTAAAATCTTATGGCACTAAGTAGTAATTTTAATCATATGTTTACAGCTACACAACTGTAAATTTTCATTTAGTTTCAAATACATTTAACAAACACTGATTTCAAAAACTTCAAAAGATGCTATCTACCATTACTTAATAATTAAGTAACAAATACTCTTTAGTCTAGGCATTTATTATGAAAATTTAACAATGAAAATTAAAAACAAGCAACAGTTGTTGTCGAAACAAATTAAATCTATCACGTTAACTAATTTATCTAATGAAATCTTTCACATTATGCATCAGTCAGTCAGTCAGTAACAACGTAGAACTTCGTACGTACGTACATCAGTTCGAGTTGCCACACCACATTAGCATCAGTTTTGTACGGTTTAAATTTTCTCCGATTTCTGTTAATCCCTGATTGCTTGTTCTTCATATTCGAATTAGGTCAGATAACGCATTCAGCTTTTTTTTTTAATAAAAAAAACAACAGTCATTTTTAACATTTTTGACCATCAATCCTTTCATTAAAGTTGTAATTCATTTAACCTTTGTATATGTTTACATTTTTCGCACACATATCGGACAACGTTTCATATATATATATATATATATATATATATATATATATATATATATATATATATATATATATATATATATATATATATATATATATATATATATAGTACATATTTTATAATTATTATCGTTTTTAATAATCGATTTTTTTCTTCCAATCTATCAATTTTTAGGTCGGACATTGATGAATTCTGTAAGATTTATGAAGTTCAACGTATTCAGCTTCTTAGAACATTTTGTACATCTGTTGGTATTCAGCTACTTTTACGGGAGTATAATCTCAATCTACCGAATGGTGCTAAACATCATCAAAAACCGGTATTTAATACTGAAGATATAATATCTCTTTATCCAATAGTGAAACATTTACATCCTCATGCAACTGATGCTTATCATTATTTTACAACTGGTCAAGCTCGAATTTCTGCTGGTCATCTTCAAGAAGGATTCGAGTTAATTAATGAAGCTTTAAGTCTTCTGAATGGTGTATATGGTCCTCTTCATCCTGATATTGGTGCTTGTAATCGTCTTTTAGCTCGTTTATCTTATGTCATGGGTGAACATGAAGCTGCATTATTATTTCAGCATCGTGCTACAATGATTAGTGAACGTGTACACGGAATCGATAATCCGAATACAGCTACTGAATATGTAGGTTTTTATATTGTTGCGAATCAAATTTTTTTCCGAAAAAATTAATATGTAAAACCTAATGATAAGTATAATAAATGTACAACATGCTATGTTTGAAGAGGTTACGAGTTCACCTAAATTTGCGGACGGAACGAAGACTTAGCGACATAATGACCAGATAAATTGACTGTTCTGATGCGTCACGTCCCAGCCCGCTAACTTGGGCAAGAAGTTCACGTTCAGAAGAGGGAAATGTATTCCACAAGCAGCCAGAAGCACGAACAACAATAAACACAACTGAAGTGTATATAAATATATAGCATAAAAACGTCCTTGGGAAACGTTACAAAATAGCATATTAAAAGTGACAACGAACCAATGACATTTAAGGTCCTCTCAAGTGGCAAGTATGATATGGAGGTGAAAACAGTCGCTTTTGGCGCGAAAGAAAAAATTCAAATTCCGAAAATAAAATTACATAAATAAGACATTTACGAAGTAAGTTTTGTGGATCTAGCATCCCCAACAGAACAACAAAATCACTAATGGTTAACTATCAGTAAGGGGATCTGTGGAGGTTTTAGTATTTTAACAGTTTAATTCACGAGTATTGAAAACCTGGAAGCACTGGACGACCATTTCGTCCTAGTATGGGGCTCATCAACAGTGCGCATCCACGGACACACACACTGGACTCAGACCCGGGACCTTAGGTCTAACGCATGGACGCTTAACCTGTAGACCACTGATCAGGTATCCAACAGTGTTAATGTCTAACTCCAATCGATCCATGATCTTGCGCAACCCTTCATTCATTATCTGAAATGGATAACTGTCTCATACCCGACACTGATTGAACTCCACTGGTCACGGCTTAATTGTAAAAAAGTCTCTTATCTGAAATATTAATGGACCAGCTTGTTTAGTTTCGTGCTGTTGATGAGTTAATTTGAAGATATCAATTGGTAAGTTGTTCAAGCAACTACTTCTAAATGTTTTAACTATAGACTAGCAGTGGTATTTATGTTAAATGTTATTACAAAGTTATGAGAATTACCTAATTGTTATAGTATAAAAATTCTAACTTCACATTCATGATTCTTTAATATCCGTTTACCACAGATGCTAGTTTACTGACCGATTTCTTTTTATGCTAACGGTCATTAGAAAACTCATTTCCTCTATTTTTATTCTTAAGCACTTTCAATATACATTTAATAACCAATGTCATCTGATCAAAGTGTGGTAAATGAAAACGTATTTCGTATATGCTCCGTTGTGTATTTCGACCCAGGGGTTTTATCAGTTCAATCAACTCATCGTTCTCAATAATTTTCTCAAATCAACTTAATTGGCTTAATGAACTGTAGCTTAATTCTGTAATCCACTTACTAACCGATTAATCAACAAGTATACTACATACTGTAATTTATAGATTTTTATTGATTTGTTCCAATTACTTTATTTCTTCCCATCATGTAGATACATTTCTCACTTTATGTATTCGCTTGTGGACATATATCTACTGCTTTACAATTACTTTATCGAGCTCGTTACATAGCACTCTTATGCCATGGTGAATGTCATCCTGAAATAACACAAATAGACGTAAGGCCTATTTATTTTATTGATTTTTCGTGTTTCAGAATGTTCATCATAACTGTTATTTACAGTTGTTTTTTACCTGTCCCTTTTTTTAAAATAATATCATGGTTTAGTAATAGCGATTAAAATTCACTTTTATTTATTATAGACTGTTATAGAGTTGGATCACGTTAATTGACTATTTAGCTAATCAGGTCTAACGGATACTCTAGAATTGTTTCGTGTAAATCTTATAAACATACTAACTTTTTTCTTATAGTGATTCCTACTTTCATTCGGCATTTTTTATTTAGAATATAATTGCATTCCTGTTCTAATTTGAGGAATTGTTGAATGAAGTAAATTGTCCGAACAATAAAAGTAGTAGTTGAGTCATAATAAGACAGATCATAACAACATTCCAACTATCATTTATTTACAATACTACTTAATTTTAAAGGTTGTTTTTCTTTTTAATCAACTTATTTTGTATTATAACTTCTGTTATTTGATTTGGATTGAACTCTTATGGTTCTTTATTCTTTATTATTTTAGACTAATATCGGTTTAATGTTACAGTTGGTTGGTGAATTAGATTTGGCTTTAATCTTTTTCGAGAATGCATTATCTTTAATTAAATTGTAAGTTGATTCAATTCACATCTTTAAAATTTTATTTATTATCTTAAGTTGAAATATAACTTAAGAGTAGATTGACAATTAGTTTGTTTGGCATTTAGTGATTTTAATAAACCAGAAAGATTTTTTTCTCTTCGATCAATTTTCTTGTCTCTTCTTATCAATGAAGTTTTACTGACACAGATCATTTTCTTATTCGTAAAGTTGTTCCACTTGTGTATGCCAATCTTTGTAGGTTCATTTCTCTTGAACTCATGATTCATGGTCATACGGCTATCTTAACTACTTGAAAAAAATAATTGCAAAATTTCACTTTGATGGTGTCATTACTTTAGGATTTCCCCCCTCGAACTAAGTAATTGAAAACAGTCAGTTAAACCTAACTGTTGACTGCGTAGCTCACATCTTTACTGATTGCAGTAAAATAATTTCTCAAAATAATTGATTTTGTTAACTGTTAAAATTATTCGACAAATTAATGTCACATACTGCAGACAAGTATGATTTAATTCGTTGATTAAAGTCAATTTTCTAGTTAAATAGAAGAAACATTCACTGCGGTTGAAAGTTTCTTATTATCTAATAAATTTAAAGTATTCAATGCGCATATAACATTCACTAAGTATGATTTTTCATGTTTTAGATTTTATGGTGAACGAAATTTGAAAGAAGCTTTCACTTGTCATTTAATCAGTCTTACGTATACCTATCGCGGCGATTTTCGTACTGCTCTTGATTATGAAAAACGTCGTTTTCTAATATACAAAGAACGTTTAGGTCCAGATAGCGATTATACTAAAGATAGTGATGAATGTTTGCGACAACTTACCCAACAAGCTGTGACAATTGCACGTAAAGTAGCTGAACTCACAGCAACTGCCTCCACAACAAAGTCAATTGGAAGTGGTGATTCTTCTTCGTCCACTAGTCATTTGAATTCACATTCAAATAACAATCATCTTTCTATCAGTGAATCACTTGTTGCTAAGGCAGTTTTATCAAATGCATTCTGTGGTGGTGTTAATGGAAATGTCAACGCTACTGGGGGTAGTGGTGGTTCACTAACTTTGCCTATGCCAACTGTTTCTTCAATTTTAGAAACTCTCAATCGTGTAAATGGAATATTAGTTATACAAATAAGGTAAGCCTTCGAAAATTATTTTAGTTATCATTACAATTGGAATTAGTGTAGGTTTGTATAGGTACTATGTTCGAGGGATTAAGATATTACCTAAGACTAGCCAACGAAGTGAAGGTCAGCGACATAACAACAGGACAAGCTAAGCTATTCGACTGCACCTCAGCCTTGCTAATTAAAGGAAGACTATATTCAACCGGGAAAATATGTAATTCCACAAGCAACCCGGAAGAAAGAACAACAGGCACACACCTCATGTGTATATATACAGTACAAAAAATGTCCGTAGAAAGCGTCACAAAATAGCGTACTATAAAAGGAAACGAGCCAATTGCATTTAAGGTCCTCCCAGGTGAGAAACTAAATTGAATGTAAAAATAGGCGCTTTCGGTGTGAAATTAAGAAATTCGAATCCAGTATTCCCAACAATATGTTTTTGGTCAGAAAATGTGCTGAATTCATATTAATTTGTATTATAAATTTTATTTCATTCATTAATAGTTGTTAATATGCATTATGCCTTGATTTTATCATCATATAATAGAGTGATTGTTTCTTTTGAGGAATAACTATCACACGCATTTAATATTAATTCAATTTGGATTTGTTTAAATTATCCCATTGGTAATATTTTGACTGAAATTTGATCTGTTGTGGTTTTCGATACGTGCATCTTGTACAGTCTATCTTCATATAGCTATTATGGCAAGTTAATATGGAATAAATGGACTCCGTATCTGAATGGATAAGTCCTGGCTTCCACTACTAGCCACATGTCATCTATTCGGCATTATCATACCTAGTATTATCCTTTTGTATTTTGTTTAATACTTTTGACGTACTACTGATTATTGTTTCACTCTAAACTGTAATGGTTTACAGTTCAAAAGATACCAGTGGCTCGTTAAGATCTTCAGATACTCATTATTTCAAACTTTAATTATTTCTCTTATCAACCTCGAATTAGTTTCACAACTCATTAATTTGATCCATGGTTCATATTTCACTGCTATAATTTTTTCATTGTTCCACTTTGTATTTAATTTCAACCACAGTCACTTCACTGTTTGTGTGATGTCTGCCTAACCACTGCTAACCTCATTGGTCAGCGACATTAGCTGGTATAAAAATAAGTTTGAAGAAATTTAGGGACAGTCAAGTTGAAACACTACCTTAGGGCTGATATGGCTTAAAATTTGTCGCATTGGCTCAGATGCATTGTTTTTTCTTCTCTCTTCAGACATTGAGTTCCAGCATTCATGGGAGTAATGCATATTTGTCTTAGAAGTGATTGATTTTAACCAATATTTTTTTAATATTTCGTTGTATTAACTCTGTGTTTTTCTCTTTCCCATACGCTTCAGAGGAAAAGATGACAATCAACATGGTCACAAAGAAGATAAAAATTTGTCAAGTAATAAATCTGATCTTACAGAATCCCATGTTGTTATATGTGATAAAATTCGGCAGTCCAAAAATGATATCCATTTGTTGACATCATCATCTAATGATAATAAATCGTCGAAATCTTTTCCTACCTCATTAAATAATAGTGATGTGAACAAACCTGTAATTCCAGTATTGTAGAGTAGCGTTGATGTTTTGAATTGATTTAACTCAGTAATAATGATTATCAATTAATTATTATTATTTTAAGAATGAAATATAAAAACAAATTAAGAACAGAATATCTCCAATTGTTATGGAAATTAGGAGCATATAATATCCCTTTAATCATCACAATTACATTTCTATAATTGTTTTAGGATGAATGGATACAAATAAGAATTCAATTCAAAACGTTGCTTGTTTTTCATGTTGCACACATCTATAATTTTTAGTTCAATAAATACCAAAATTACTACAATATAATTAAACTTTTGTTGTATACTAACTATTAGTCTTCCTATTTTCTTTTTTTTTTCTTCTATATATACACATACATTGTGTTTATAATTTATGTATCATAGTTTAGATGAACATTCTTAGTTACATCTTGTGTCTTTTGTATACGTTGACCGGAAAAAAAAGTTTTGTACACATTACACTTGCATTATTACTGTTTTGTCTTAATGCATATTTACCTATATAAATGTACGTAGATTAAATTTCATAGTTTTGGTGTATATGTGTGTGTGCAAAAACTTTTATTTCAATAAAATCACATTAGTTTGTAGATTAGTTAAGTAATTCTGCCCATTTTTGCATTTTAAAAGAATATTCAGTTTGTTTCTTAAATAAAATACATAATCCAAGGTATCAACTTTTCTTCTTTATATTTTTGACAGATGAGAACGAAGAATAGAGAGTATAGGATGGTGCTATATCTCTGTTTAACTACTCATAATTTCTTCCCAGTTTCTATTGTGCGTAAGAGTAGGGGGTAAACAGTCCCAAGTAATACATAAGATTTTAACAAGTGACTTAACACTTCTGTTTTACACTCTGTGCCTAACTTCAAAATTGTTCGTGCATTCAAGCCTTTTAATCACTTTAGGTATATCAGTCAAAAAATATCTGCCTCGTAGTCATAAAGTGATTCAGTGACCTACAAAATTGTGCAGGAAGGCGTTTCGCGAGAAATTTTATACACATATTTCCATTTACCATCTTGGACAGAGCAAGAACACGTATTTTAGCAGAATTACATGAATTCATCTTATTTTGTTTGGCTCTCGCCAGCTGCTTGCAACCTGAGATATTTAAAAGTCATAATTACAAAATGGGTTCAAAGTACATGAAAGATTTTAGTTGTAAGTTATTTTGCAGACATCAGTTTATTATAACAAGGATGTAAATAAACTTAATAGAGTGAATAAGATATTGTATATATATATATATATATATATATATATATATATATATATATATATATATATATATATATATATATATATATATATATATATATATATATATATATATATCATCCAAAAGAACATTCTACAACATTGGTTGTAACAAGTGTCCGAACGGCTATAATCATGTGGTTACGTCATGAGTAAACGCCGATAAATAAGCAAGAACACACTTAGTTAAATTCAGTTAATAAACTAAGATTGCTAAGCTAAAAGACCGTCGGAATAAAATGATGTAATTAGATGGAAGAGTTGAAAATAAGTTTTCTAAGATGCAATGAAGGAATGTTTATCACGAAGGCAAGGAAAGATTAAGAACCATATTTTGAACATCGGTTTTTGACGCCTATTAGCAATGGCTTCAGAGGACTGGAGCTTGGGTGTTTATTTATCACTCTGAAGGATTGAAAGATGTCGACTTGATGTCCTGTACCCAAGACATGTTTATTAATTACACTGTTCTTTCACATGTTCTAATGCTTTTTCGAACATGTTCGAAAATTCTAAAATATGTCCTACTTCCTGTTCTGCCAACATATCTGCTTTGACAGGTACACCTAAATCTATAAACACAGTTGGCGATAACATGAAAGGGATGCTTATCGACCCTTGATTGGATCATTGAGCCTGTTGTTTCATACAAAATGCATAGCTCGGCTGCCAGGGAAATTTTGGCTATTAGTGTAAAGCCTCAGCTTTGAAGTTGAGGTTTCTAGAGATTGGTTTTTCATTGACTATAGTCCTACCCGTCTTGTTTTCTTTAGATTTTTTACATCTGTCAGTAAATTTCTGTGTGTAGCGGCCTGGTCTTAAAAGTTTTTCATCGTCCATCAGTTTTTCTTCCAGTTATTATTGTAAGCATGATCTAAGATCTCGCGGCTCACGTTTGCCTCATATGTATGGTTTACTAAACGTTCACAAGCATTACATCCCCCTTAGACTTATCCAATCAATGGTCACTTCATGTCATTATGTAGTTTTGATGTGGGAAGTATTCATTTCATCTCAAGTAGTTAGGGTAAAGTATATCAGAAAAGTTAATATGGATTATTCAGTTTACGAAGTTTCACCTCATTTCAATCCATACTTCCTTCAGTATTTTAAACGAACTACTAACGAGTAGTAAATTGGTACATGTTAAATATTTAAGTTGTCAAAACGTTAGTGAATATTTTGGTGTTGTTTAATTACGTCAACCGGAATATCGTTAAGTATTCGTACAATTGAAGGTCTTTTTTGACTATCCCTATGTTTTTTTTTCTTGAGCATACCGAAAAAAATGACAATGTGTAGCTCAGGAGGAGGTTGCATGTGTTGTTTTTTCTGAGCTACATAGTGCAATTAATGAAGCTTTCTGGATGACATTTTGAGTTTGTGTATGTATTTTTACTTGCTACTGTTACACCAAATGATGGTTAACATTATTGATGTCTAACCCTGATACTGAATGATGTAAGTCAATGTAAATTAGAATACGGTTGATCGTGCCACAAACGAGATCAGAATGCTATTTAATGGGAACTGATGCACTCAATATTCATACCTTACGCCCTTTTCGTATTAATATATTGTGACGTCAAAGTTTTAGACATATTTTTAAGGGAACATTTTCTCAAGAGAAAAGTTTCAATGTTTATATAAAAAATTTAAATATGATGAATAACGATTTCCCTACAGGGAATGATTACAAAATCTTTTACTTTACGAAAAGATGAATCCTAAAGTTATTGTAAGCATTTGAGAGAAGAACCAAAGGACATAGTTGAACAGTCAGTTAAGTGGAACTCGTCAGGACAGAGTTGTATGGGTAATGGTGATTAGCGGCCTTTGCTCTTCCACGAGATGTAACAAGCGTAGGTAAGTAAGTATTTCAGTTAATTTTGCTTGTCATTATCCATGATTAATAGTATTTGTGACAGTACATCAAAATATAATCCATTCGCTCAATTTTATTGTATCACTCTAAATTCGAAGATAAGTAATTATAAATTTGTGACTACATCATATTTCATTTATTCAACAAATAAATTATTGAATGCTTTCAGCTTTACCACGGTTACAAAAACTACCACTCAGTAACATATGTTTTAAATCGTAATATATTGCAATTTGTTCACATTAAGGTTGTGCACAAAGTGAATGTCATTCACATTCATTCAGTAGATGTTTATTATTTGAGTGTAATTTGGAAAAATTAATAAACGTATATTTGATAGCATGATAGGAAGATGTGGAATTCTTTACGTACCTGAGAAGCATTATCGATGAACAAGACGGATCGGATACAGACTTAAAGGCCAGGATTGGCAAATCAAGGACAATATTCCTGCAGCTGAAGAACATCTGGAACTCAAAACAACTGTCTCTCAAACAATATAAGAATCAGAATATTCAGTACGAACCTCAAGACAGTTCTATTGTACGCAGCTGAAACTTGGACAACTACCACAACCATCAAAAAAGTATAGGTATTGTTGGATGTAGAATGCTGTTGGGCAGCCTATGTTCCTCCACGAGGAGTAACAGGCGTAAGTAAGTAAGTAAGTATACAGTAGTAAAATATAGATTATTTTGTCACATGATCAAAAAGATATTTGAAAATTTGTCAAAATTTCATCGAATAGTTCAGTAGAAATTCAGTGCCATGTATGAAAAAGACATTAGATGTATAAATTTTATTTAAAATAATCTAAAGAATTGAAATTAACATAATCCTAAAAATTTGGCTGGGAAGCCGGTCCGAATTTATTCAAGCCGGTAACTAAACTCATAAAAATATCAAATCGAAATCAATAAGAATCTTTGCACTATAGGGTTTTGTATAGATGTCAAGGTGTTTCTCCCTTAAATACAGAAACACATTCGCTACATTTAATTTTATAGAACAACTTTTCATGTTCCTTTATTAAAAATCCCGCACTTCGCTTTCTCTCAAGCCAACGCAAACAAAATTTCATGTCATGAATTTCAAGAATCCTTTCGATCTAATTAGATATATCTTCAGAGTACTAGAACATTAACATGTTTCACTGTAACTTATCCAAGTTGAAAAGAAACTAGAATATCAGATATGCCAAAAAAATGAAAGAAATTCTTCGAAAAATATATTAATAACAATCAAATTGAAAACAAAATTCTTATGGTAAACCACGAAGAGAAGGATAAGGAAATTACAAAGAGTCAACTAAAGAGATATATTGAAACTAATCGTCGAGATGATGATCTAATTGAGGTTAGTTGAAATAAATCATTAATAATGTATCAATGTTTGCAACTACTCATCTATCATGAATTGTTTTAAAAAGTGTTGAATACTTGAACAGCTAGTTGAATAATACAGGAATTAATCCTTCGAATAGAATTTGCTATGATATTGAAGAGAGAGATCACCAGTAAGTTAATTCACATAGGTCTATGCCTAGAACTGGCTTCTAGTAAACTGAACTTTGTTCAATGATTTTTGAAGAAAGGTATCAATGAGCACAAATCTTGGTTTGTAGAATACAGAAAATCATTGATGAAATGTTATTGATAAATTGTAATTTGAAAGGATGTTGGAGAGAACAAATATATCTGAGTTGTGAGTCCACAACCAAATGCCAGAGAAACAATCATCACATGTAGACCACTCAGCGAATACACTATTATCGAGTTATTGAATCAAAAGACGCTTCATAACGTGAATTGCGATGTAGATTATCCAGTTATATCAATTATTTCACTTGTTAATTGAAATTATTGTGCATTTTGCAGTTTGAGTACATCTCAAAGCCAAAGTCATTTATAATCATTACGGTCCTATTGACTTTTAGTTGATAATTATGACTGTGAAAGTGAACAAACATTGAACGTTTTCATAGAATACTAATGTTTACTGAATTATATTATTTACCACTAGAATTGGATGAAGTTATTTCAATTAAGAAAGACTAATCGTCTCAGTCTAGAAGATATTTGTGAACATCTACAATTAAATATCAGAGATGTGTAAGTCATTAACCAGTTTTTATTATTTTTGTATCTCTCATTGAAAAATATTCACATATTATCTATTTACACAAATCGTGTTGGAAGGATTATGGTGAATATGCGAAATTCACGTGAATGTTTTCAGTTAGTGTTGCATTAGTCAAGATATTACTTCTATTGGGAAACGACAATGATGTTCTCTACGACGATAATCAAAGCTTCATAGTCTCAAAATATCTAGCTCACTAGATAGAAACACATTTCAAATTAATAATTTCTCCAATTGAAAATTGAAAATATCATAATCTGATTTTAAAATAGATTATTTGCTTTGTGCTCAGATTAATACTGTCTATTCTTCTGACTAAGTTAAATCTACGCCTAATATTGTTTACATGTAATCATCTCTTTCCAGATTCACTTATCTGAGCAAG